ACAATACCTTTTAAAAAACCAACATCATTTTTCACAGATCTAGAAAAAATAATTCTATGTTTCATATGGAACCAGAAAAGACCTAGTATAGCAAAAGCAATCTTAAGCAAAAAGAACAAACTAGGAGATATCAATTTACCGGATTTCAAGGCTATACTGTAAGGCTACAGTAACTAAAACAGCATTGAACTGGCACAAGAACAGAGACATAGACCAATGGAACAGAACTGTGAACCCATATATAAAACCATCCTCATATAGACATCTAATCTTTGACAAAACAGACAAAAACATATACTGGGGAAAAGAATCCTTATTCAATAAATGGTGCTGAGAAAATTGGATAGCCTCACGTAGAAGACTGAAACAGGATCCATACCTCTCACCTCTCAAAAAAATCAACTCACATTGGATAACAGACTGAAACCAAAGGCATGAAATTATAAGAATTCTGTTGGAAAAGTTCTTACAGATATTGGCCTAGGTGAAGAATTTATAAAGAAAATCCCAAAGGCAATCACAGCAACAACAAAACTAAACAAATAGGACCTGATCAAATTAAAAAGCTTCTGCATAGCCAAAGAAACTATCACCAGAGCAAACAGACAACCCACAGAATGAGAGAAAATATTCACATGCTATATATCTGATAAAGGGTTGATAACTAGAATCTATATACAACTCAGGAAAATCAGGACAAAAACAAACAAACTAATTGAAAAGTGGACAAAGGACATGAATAGAAACTTTTCAGAAAAAGAAAGACTAATGGCCAAAAGCATATGAAAAAATGCTCAACATCTCTAATCATCAGGGAAATGCAAATCAAAACCACAATGAGATATAACTTAATTCCAGTGAGAATGGGTTTTATCACAAAGTCCCCAAACAAAAACTGTTAGCATGGATGTGGAGAGATAGGAACACATAAATACTGCTGGGTGGGACTACAAATTAGGAGAACCTCTATGGACAATAGTGTGGGGATGCCTCAAAGAGCTACAAGTAGAACTACCATTTGATCCAGTAATCCCAATACTGGGCATCTACCCCAAGGAAAAAAGACATTATATAAAAAGGCATCTGCACTAGAATGTTTATAGCAGCACAATTCATAGTTGCAAAGATGTGGAAACAACCCAAGTGCCCATCAGTACATGAGTGGATTAATAAAATGTGGTATATGTATACCATGAAGTTCTAGTCATCCACAAAACCAATGGTGATCTAGTACCATTATCCTAGATGGAGCTGGAGCCCATTCTACTAAGTGAAGTATTACAAGAATGGAAAAGCAAGTATCACATGTACTTGCCATCAAATTGGTATTAACTGATTAGCACTTATGTTCACATACAGTACATTCATTGGGTGTGTGGCAGGTGGGAAGGTAGGGGGAGGGAATGGGTGCAGTGTACACCATCTGGGGGGTGGACACATTTGAAGCTCTGACTTGGGTGGGGAAACGGCAATGTATGTAACCTAAACATTTGTACCCCTATAACATGCTGAAATTTAAAAAATGCATAATCTCAATCTAATCATGAGAAAATACTGGAGAAGGCCAAATTGAGAGACATTCTGATCAAAAGTGCCAAGACCTTGAAAGAGAAATAAATATTTAGGAACTATCACAGATAGGAGGAGACTAAGGAGACATAACAATTGAAATAAAGTATATAAGTGTGTTGATAGTATTTTACCAATGTTAATTTCCTATTTTGATAATTGCATTAAGGTTATGTAAATTGTTGGCATTAGGGAAAGCTGGGTGAAGGGCATCCATGAACACTTTGTGCTATTTTTGCAGCTCTAAGACTACAGTTATTTCAAAAAAATGTAAAAAAAAGTCTTGATGAAAATAAAACAGAATATTGACAACATTATTCAATGTTATTTTTTGATTTATAATTTTTTATGGTTTCTAAATTTTATTTTGAGCAAGTTAAATTTACCATTTGAAAATACAAAATATTTTTAAAGATACTAAATATTAAGAACACAACAGACAACCACACGACATCCAAATTCAATGATGTTAATATTTTACCATATTTACATCAGTGTTCTTTTGAGAATGTAACATTTTACAAAGTCACGAGAGGACTTTGTTTCTTATCTTGACCTTGTCCAACCTCTTCTTTCTCCTTTCTAGAGGCAACAATGACTTTTAAATCAGATGTATTTTTCCATCCACATTTTTAAACTCAGCATATATGTCCACAAACAATGCTTAAAATTACTTAGTGTGTTTTAAAAATATATAAATGATATTATCATGCACATATCCTTCTACAACTTTTTTTTCTTTCAACTTTGTTTTCTGGAGTTATTCATGTTCTGTTCATTTTAAATGCTATATAGTATTCCCTTGCATGGTTACAATGAATTTAACATTATTCTACTGAAAGAAATTGTTTTCTTCCCCTCTTCACCCCCTTTGCCATTACAAACAATGTTGCAGTTATGTCATGGGCATAACTTCTTGTAAGCATGTGTGCAAGTTTCTGTAATAAACCTCACAGAAATAAAAATTCTGGGTTGTGGAGTGTATGCACTTTTAGCATTGCTATACAATGCCAAATTTCTCTCCAAAGTGGTTAAACCAATTTGTACTCCCACTAGCAGAGCATGGGTTCCCATTTTTTCACATTTGTGCCAGCAGTTCTTTAGACTTTTAAAATTTGCCAATCTGATGAGTGTGAAATGATATTTCACTTTTGTTTTAACTTTCATTTTCCTGCTTAGTAATGAAGTCAAACATCTATTTGTCTTATTCTTGGTCATTCACATTTGCAATTCTGATAATTACTTTTTCATAACCAACTTTTTATGATAACTTTATATATATTGGTAATAAAGAAATGGAACTAAGAATAGATAATTGATTTTACCACAAATGATGCAGTGTTTGATTACATTGACTGAGATATTAATACCATGTCTGTAGTCTTGGAGTACTGTGTTTTTTCACAGATATCTGCCTAGAGAATGCTAATTGAGATGATGAAATAAAAATAAATGAAATATGAGAAATTATTACAGCAATAAGAATTGTTTTGCCAGAAGAAATGTCTTATGAGGGATGTGATATCTGTTTAAAAAAAATGACAAGCTCTTAGGAGGCAGAGAGTATATATGTATTGTTTCAGGAGAGCAAAGGCCAGTGGTAGAAATTTTGAGGAAGAATATTTGAACTTAAGATCAGGGAGACAGTTTTGCCACAATTAAATTTATTCTGGGATGAGACTGCTTGCCTGATCTTTGAACATGTTCAAGGTGAGGTTGGTGGGCCCATGTGTCAAGAATGCAGTTAAAGAGATTCCTTTGTAGGGAAGGAGCCTAAGTGAAATAATCTCTAGTACAACTCAAAATTTTATGCTTTTATGTAGTAAACAATTCATAGAATGATGTTCCAGGAAATCCACAAATGAATCATCTTTAGTGTTTATAATTATGAAGGTTCAGTTAAAACATTGCTTGAGGTACTGGTGAGTCAGTCTTTAATTTTTCTGAAATTCCTCAGCAAACCAAGCCTAAATTGGCTAAACCAAACAGGATTATCAACTTTGAATTCAAACTTGATTTTCATAATGGCATTTTAACCTCACCCCACCCCCAACTCTATTCCAGGTGGCATTTTGCCTTTCAGGGTCCTGCGATTCTTGTAGCTGAATAATTTATATACCCAGTGATACTATTTTGTCTTTATGAAAGCTACATTTCAAAAGGAATTTGGAAGCCTAGGATATAAGTGGTAAATAGAATACCCTTTAGGGAAGGCAGACTGTAATGAAGTTAGTTATAAGCTACTAACAGGTCCTTTATAGTTGGATTTGGAGTAAAAAATGAAGAATTTTAGTTGAGGGACAATTTTTCTGGTATATTTTTTCAAAAGACTTAAATGAATGTTAATGGAAGTTTAAAAGTCTTTTCTGAAGATACTTAGAGAAACTGACTCTATTTGTGGGTGATGACTTAGATATTGTCCTCCCTGAAGGCTGCTCATTGGTGGGGTGGCCCATGGGAGGTCCTACCAAGGACTCATCATTCTAAGTGGCTACAACACTTGAAGTTCTTGTATGTTCTAAGGACTGTGAGTACTTTTTCCCTAGGCCATTCCATTTGGGCCCAAATCTCGGATACTGACTTTATTCTTTTGTTTTGTTCATGAAGTCCCATATGCGCCCAAATGTTCTGCTGTACTTTTGGATCATGTCTTCTATTATTTTCTCTTCTGGACTACATGGAGGCTCATGCTAGTTGTTATTTAGTCTGCTATGATTCTCTTATGCACTCAGACCGAGCTTTTAAGGCCACTGCTTACTTATTAATATTTTTCCTCTCTGGCTAGAAACCTTTAGAGGAAAAGCAGGCAGGGCCAGAAGACAGTGCAAGCTGATTGCTACCCCTTTTCTGATTGTGACCCTCACTCTTTCTTCCATTACAAAAATCTTTCCCATAGACTCCTGAGGGGAAGATATTCCTCTCCAGCCTTCCAGGTGGGCCCAGATAAATCAGGATGCTGGTGTGGGAATGGTTTAGACACCCGAGGTGAGCACCCATTCCTAGGGGCTCCTTAAAATGTTTAGGCTTTAAGGGTTTTGGAGACATATTGTGGGTTTGGGCCACATACTGGTAGAAGGGAGAATCCAAAAGAGGAGGAAAGAAATAGGAACCAGCTGATAAGAAATGTAGATCAGGAGTGTCAACACTAGGAGGACTGAGAAATTAAAGGGCTTGAATAAAGGGAAAAAAAATAAGTTGAAAATTTATGTAAATATAGAGAATCAAAAAATGGATTTGAGAAAAAGATTAACATAATTATGATTCTGAGAGTGTTAGATTTTGGCTAGACCATTAATTGGATTCACTGGAGGCAATAAGTGAAGATTCTAGGAGGAAGTTTGCTGAATAAATGTGCCTAGAGTGATGGAAATCTATATCTGCTCTGCGTTGTTCTATAGCATTCTCTCTCTCTCTCTCTCTCCTTGCTATAGGGGGCACCTGTGACAAGCACTGTGAGCTCAGAAAGATCTAAAATGTGCAGGGCACTAAAATTTGCATATCTGGTTGTTTTCTCCTGAAGACCCCAGGAAACCTGGCCATTTAGAATGATCACAAACATTTGAATAAAGCAGTTTACAAGCATGAAAGGATGCACAGGAAAGAGATGAAGAAATAGAGGAGTCAGAGAGGTAATTGTAGAGAAAAATGCTAATCCACTATAAACAGCAGCAGCAGCAGTAACTTGGAGTGTTGTCTTCTGGATTTCTAAGCTGATTGTGTCCAGCATGTATATTGGAGCAGAGTCTGATTTAAAATGTTCTATCCTGATTTTAGACTATACCACCTGATGGATGCCACCTGATAAGATTCGGGAGGAATGAGAATGGCATTGCTATCCAACAGTCCTTACCTCGGTGGATCAATACAATGTCAGAGCAGAGAAGGAATTAAAGAAGATAAAGACCCCTGTTCTTCAACAGGGTGCTTGGGCATTTGAGGCAGGATATGTTTTCCCTAGTAATTGTGATGACCCCCAAATGCCCCACTTGTCATATTTCTGTATGTTCCCAGGAGAGCAGTGCACCTATTTAAAAATCACACAATTCTAGTCTCATCTCTTTCTTTTATGGCTGAGGAAATGGATTCCTGAAGAGGTTGAGTGACTGGCCCAAGGCCACACAGTACGACAGCAGCAGGGCAAAAACTAGAATTTATATCCATTGTTCCTTCCTCACTACTGGGCTGCGCCTCCAACCCTACTCATCATTTCTCTAACAGAATTCATTCCTTTGGGATTAGGGTTTGCATTTTCATTAATCTCCACCAATGTCAAATATTACTAGGAAGTAAGAGATACTATGTAAACCTTGAGTTACTTTAGAAACTTAAACATATCAGGACAAAGAAATGTTGAAATGTTGAGTGCCAGGGATGCTGCTCAGATAGGACAACAGAGAATGGAAGGGGATGCTGGGGTGGGTGGTCATATTCAGATGGAGGCTGTTTCTATAGTGATGTGATCAGTTTGGCAGACATATGGCTATAAAACATATAGACTAGGTATCAGGTAGGGCTGTGAAGTGAGCCTCTTGACTTCAGTTTATAGTCACACCCCATAGAATTTATGTCATGAATTCATCTTCGGGGCAGCTTTTTTCTAGTACTCTTGTTCTATCTGGATTTATTTCTAGCTTCTTAAACTCAGCCCACTTTAGATCTAGGATTCCAGCCCAACTCTTCAATAAATCCCTTCTTGACCTGAGACAATTTGGAGCAAGCACTTGAGGGAGCATAGGCTTGGCATTCAGCCAGACCTGTGGCTGAGTCTCAGCCTTGGTGCTTCCCAAGTTGCTATGACTTTGGGCACCCCTTAACCTCTCCAAAGCTCCATTTCCTTTTCTGTAAAATGAGGGGGTCAGGAGGTTTACAGGAGGGAGTGTGTGTAATATAATTGGCACCCGGATGGTACCATATGTTGGCATTCACTCCTCTCTGCCTAATCATAAATAATCTTAAATAAAATTATTTTCCATTTAAAAAATTCCTATGGATTTTCCAGTCTCTTCCTCAGCCAGTTTTCCTGTTGTCCTTTAAGTGTGTGTGAAGGGGCATTTTGTTTCATATTACAGAATCTGCAGTAGCTTACATACATATTCAAGTGCATTCAAGGGAGCTCAGTTTGTCACTGAGCTTCCCGGTTTTTCCATTGCCACTAATTCTGTAAGATACATTTGCATAGGGTGCTCAGAGACCATTAAAGCTCTGTAAAGCCCTGAAATCACATGTAGTAAGCATGCGGTTATACCCTCTAAAATTTACAGTACACTGCAACCAAATTGCTCAGTTTGTTCAGGATTGATTCCTTATGAGGCTCTACTCTGCATAAAACAGAGACCAAGTCCTCACTTTATGTCTCTTCATCCTCGCAGAAATCATAGTCCATTATCGGGCAGCCTGCAGGGATCCATTACTGTTGGTGAAAGGGAGCTCTTTCAGAAAGTTTTCCTTAAGGACCTGGGTTTTAGATATGCCCCTCTGCTTGTGAGATGTGCCACTGATTAGCGTCTGTGTTGTGACAGAGTGATTATGCATGTTGTGAATAAACATGCTTATGTACGCATGTGTGCTGTCACAGCAATGAGTAGCATCCAATAAATACCGGGTTAAGAGCATGCCAGCATCTTCCTAACAGCTGGCACAGCTGAAAAACTTGCCTGCCTTATTAACACTCCACTTATCTGGGATCTGCTCACTGAGCAGAAACAACTTCATAAATTTTTGTAATTTGCATTCTGCCTTGCTGTTGCTCATTACCATTGACCTCATCCCTCCTGTGCTAGAGAGGACCGGCCTTCCACGGCCCTGCCTGCCGGATGCACCTTACCTCTGCCTGTCAACATCAGAGGCAGAGTCAGGATTAAGGCTTGTTGCTGCTACCAGGGCTGTGAAAGAATCGGGGTGATTTTTCCTCCCTTCATTCTGGAGAAAGTGACACTTCCACAGTCCCTTCTTCCTCTTGTCCATTTGTAACCTCTTCTTTCTGAGGCAGATTAAAATGGAGAGGACCAAACCTTCCTCTGAATGGGAGAAAAGAAACAGGCAGGCAGCAATTTGGTTGTCCAAGAAAATATTCTAATCCTTTCTCAGTGTCATTCAGAGACTACTCAATTGTGTTTACAATGTATGTCAGTTTCTCACTTAATCATTCTAATCTAGTTTCCTAGCCTTTTAACCTTTCTCTCCTTTGCCCTGGCTCTTTTATTCTGTGTTGTGTTTTCAGCTGTTTCATTAGACACAGTTCACGACTCATAGCATCCAGTTAAATATATTTTCAGGCCAGGTGCCTTTTCTTATTGGCCTGTGTTGTAGGGGAAGCTGATTCCTTCCTTCCCTTTCTATATGGGACCCTTCTATATGTCACCCCCCCCTCAAAAAACTCCTTATTATCCTTGATTAAAAGTGGTGATCTGACTGTTGTCTCAGGTCTCTCTCAAACTGCTCCCCTCAAGGGTCCCAGAGCCCCAAACCCCTGTGAACTAGAGGCAGCTCCTGAAAGCAATAGAACCTTTGAGCAGAGGCTTCATTAAAAATCACATCACGAACCTGGTTTTATTTTTTTCCCCTCCCTGACTTGATGAAAACAAAACAAGAAGAGGTAGGGAGGGAGAAAGGAGGAGAGGTAGAAGCGAATTGCTTAATGGAGACAGTCTGAATATTTAATATGCTGATTTTATTGAATAAAAGGTGAAAAAGTGGTTCTTGTTTGTTGCTTGCCTGTCAAACCATGGCAAACAAGCATTCTTTTCCCTGACTGGAGCTTTTTATTACTGTATGGATTCTAGAGTGTAATTATGCCCTATATCTGAGCTGCATTATACACACAATTACAATTTCCCAGCTGAACTATTTATTTATTACCAGAGGAATATTTGTTCAGTCCTTGGAGGATTTTTTTGGGTGATGACTCTCATTGTCTTGCCCTTCATCGGTAAGGAATGTCCAGAAGGAGCCCCTTACTCTGAGCCCCTGGCTTGTCTGTTGACAGTTTGGATGAACTTCCCAGCTACATTTATTCATGCTGTTGGAGACAGATGCTGGGCAAAAGAAATTTTAGGGCTATAAATGTTTAAGAATGTTTACACTGTTTTCAGAGCTTTCATGGGAAGGACTTTTTATTCTAGCTATTATCATCTTATGAAATCTGATTTGAAATCATTTTAGAAAATAGCTTTCTCTAGGTACAGCCTGCTTGCCTAGCAGTTCATAAAGAAAGAAGAGCCCACAGCTAAATAGAATTCACGTCAATAAACATTTGTTGAAAACTTTACCATGAGCCAGGCACTATTGTGGGCATTAGGGCATAGAGTGGAGGAAATCTCAGTTCTTATCCCAGAGGTCTTATAGTTCATCATGAGAAGCAGATTAATTAAGAGAAATGTAGTGAGTGCTACAATATTGGTTCATTCATTTATTTTAATTTTTGCTGATTTTATGCTGCGTACAAACACTAGATAGGGGATACACATATGTTGAAGAAAATAAATATGATCTTCACTCCTCAGGTGTGGCTTCTACCCTCACCATAGAAGGACAAAGGAGGAGGGCCAGATGGACAATAATGAAATGAGCAAATAAAGAAGACAATTTTAGATATTGATGACTGCTGTAAGAAGTAAATCAGGAAAATGGGATTGAAAATGTGTAGGTGTGGAAAAGGAAGAGATGGGGTGGTTAAGGAGGTCTCTCTGACCAGCTGTTACTTGAACTGAGGTGTAACTTATCAGAGAGTTTGTCATGGGATGGACTGGGTGATGTCCTGGGGAAGAACTTTCTGGACAGACAGGACAGTAAGTGCAAGAGTTCTGAGGCAGAGACTACAAGAAGAATGTGTGTTGGGCCCATAGTGAAGGAGAGAGAGGAAGGAGATGAGGGTGGGGAGGTGGCTGACACTAGGTCATTTATATCCTGCAGGCTGTGGAAAGGAGTTTTGGGTTTATTTGCAATTTCAGTGGAACTCAATGGATACCATCTGGTGAGATTGTAGTGAGGAGCTTCACTCTTCCTTAGCCTGAATGCAGGCACAACTTCCAAACTAGGCCAGCCAGATGTTCTTTTCCTGGAGCAAAAGCCTTGCAGAGGTCCCTGCTTATCAGCAGGTGTCTTATTTGCCATCTGGTGCTATCTTGGGTCCTGCTCATTTTCAAGGCTGGTTTTCCAATCTTCCATTGATTCTACAAGCCTCAAAAACTCAAAATTACTTCTAACAAATTCCTTTTGGATTAGGTTAACAAGGTTTTATTGCATCCAAGGGACTCAAACTGGGGCAAAGAGATACTTAGTGCCTTCTTCCTTCTTATGTGGGCTGGAAAGGCAATACATGTATATCTCTCCCAGTCTCATTCCATCAGCCTGGAAAGTGGCAACAAAATATCCTAGAATCTGGCTATAGCATATACAATAGCATAGTTTTCTGGTATTCTATGCTTTGGTCTTTTTTCTGTGCCTTTATTGCTGTTTTGGGGAAAAATTGGGAAAAAGCTAGATGAAGAATTCATTTTAAACTTTAATTTTCAATTATAGCTGCATTTAGGGGTAAAATTAACCAGGAATTTGTTAAATTTTACTTCTTTCTATGCTATATTGGTTCAAGTTGTCTCATGTGAAATTTTGGTGTACCTCCCGAAACATGCTTTGCCAATTATAATCAGGATACTGAATTCGATATTTGAGGACTTTTTGAGAATCCTGACTAAGGTAATTTTGAAGTGGTGAGAGAAGAAAAGAAACATCTTCAGAGATCAGATTTTTTTTCCACCTATCTTGTCTCTAAACAAAAACTGTAGTCTAGGCCTTATTCTTTCTCTAGGTCTTAGGATTCAAACATTGATAACTGCTTCCTTATCATTTTCTAATATTTTTATGTCTTTTTTATTTTTGTGAAAATGTATCCATATGGTACCAGAATAATTTTTTTTATTGCTGTGGCTTTAATGCTCAATACTTATTTGTGAAGGATTTGTTATTTTAATCTTTCTACTTCAAGATATCTACTCTTTTCTTTCTTAGAGTCTCTCAAATATTCCTTTCTTCTTAGTCTCAAACTGATAATAACTTTTTTGAAATATGATTGTTAAAAAAGAATCACTAAATTAATATTTAAATACATTTTACATTTGAATATTTTTCTCTAGCATTTTGCTTTAATTAAGATGACATATTTGCAAATAGGTTCTCATTATTTCTCTTGTTAATTTTCATACTTAGTTTGGTTTGTCACTAAATGCAGACCATCAAGAACAAGGACAAAAGATGTTTAGTGCTCCAAATTTCTTTTGTAGATTATGTTGTTAGTCAAATTTATATAAAAATAATAGACAAGAAGGAGGAATTGATTAGAGTGTTTCTACTATGAAGGTCATGGCATCAGTGAAAATTATAGAAATGTTGTATGGACAAGTAAGGTTTTTGTTTGCTGTCACTTTTTATTCCTCTAGCACCTTTATTTTGAATTTTCATTTATTTTTTAACCAAAGGGAATTAACTTGTTCAAAATCCTAAACCACTAGGAAATAATCTAAAGCCATGTAAAAGATGTGTAGGCCAGCAACAAAACAGACTACATCCAATGGATGGGGATAGATAATAAGACAGACGTTATAATGCAAGTTGATAAGTGATATTAAAATGGGTTAAGTATAAGATTTCTTAGTATAGGAGGGATCACTACTCCTGTCTTTGGTGGGGAGTGGTTTCCAAAGGAAGGGGGTTTGAGACTTGAAGGAAAAGTGAGAGTTAGCTAAGCAGAAGCAGAGTGGAAATTTTTCGGCAGAGGGATCTTTGAAGGCCTGCAGATGATTGCATGGTGCATCTTAGCACCCTTACTATGGGTGGAGCAGGGCGCAGTGCAGGATGGCAATGGAGAGGGAAGTGGTGCTACAATGCGCACAAGGCTATTGACATGTGAAATGTAGATTTCTTACTGTCTCTTCCTCAGTGATCACTCTGGTTATAAGTCCTGGTTTTCTCATTGTTCTAGAGTAAATACTAATTTCTTGACAAAGTTGTGGTCAGGGCTAAATAAGAGAGCATATATGTGGTATGGAGGATAGTATGGGTGTAGGAGGGAGAATTGCATGGCATCTTCTCAACCCCACCCCAGGATTTTCTGTCCTGTTCCCTATACTGTAAATATAATGAGATATCATGCCCATGGTTATGTTACATTATACCAGAGAGGGATTGTGGAGAGGTAATTAAGATAATTAAGGTTACTGTCAGTTAACTTTGAGTTAATCAAAAGGAAGATTTTCTGAGTGGCCTCAGTATAGCCATATAAATCATTTAAAAGCAGAGAGTTTTCATTGGCTAGCAGCAGAAGAAATCAAAGAGATTCCAAGGGTGAGAAAGATTCAATTCATTTTTACTGGCTTGAAGATGGAGTTCCCATATATAAAGAAGTGGAGGGAAGTCTCTAGAAGCTGAGATAGAGCCTGCCTGATGGCTGGCAAAGAAATTGAGCTCTATCTCTTACAATCTCAAGGAACTGAATTTTCCCAACAACTTGGATCAGCTTGGAAGGGGATTCTTCCCCAAAGTTTCCAGATGAAAACCCAGTCTGGTCAACACCTTGACTTTTTAGCCTATGAGAACCTAAGGAGAGAACCCAGTTCTACTAGCCCACTAGATCTCTGACCAGGTAGAGTTCTGACCTACAGAGCTGTGAGACAATAAATGGGTGTAAGTTTGTGGTAATTTGTTATATAGCAATAGAAAACAAATATAATGGGTATTATTACATTTTTGGAATTTTGGAATCGGACAGAACTGAATTCAAGTCCTTTGTTTTCCAATCACCATTTTATGATTATGGGAAAGTTACTTTACTTCTCTAAATCTCAGATTTCTCACCTGTAAAGAGTAACAGAAATAGAAATGCTACTTGCATTGTAGAAGTAGTAAGAAGACCAACTGAGAAAATGCATAGAAAGTGCTTGTTTCAGAGTAAGTTCATAGTAAATGTTATCTGTTTTTATTGTCATTTTTGCTACTACCATTTCTAATGTGTGAAATACCTGGCACAGCATCCAGCACATAGTAGGTGCTTAAGCAGTACTAGTGCCTTTCAGCTTTTCTTCACCTTCTCTCAGTTCCTGGGCAGCTCCCAGTTCTACTAACTGCCTTCTTCCTGCCTATCTCCTCCACTTTGTGAATATTGATTTTGAAGACTGGAAGGGAAACATTTATCATTCTTAATTGCAATAAAATCATTACAATGGTGTTAAACATTCAAATAGAAATTAAGTTCCACTGCATAATGCAAAGACAACTATTAATCTGTGCCGGTAGCCAAGCCTAGGAAAAGCGATATGGATAAAATGGATGTGATGTATTAATAACATCATGATGCTAGGGAAGGAACTTCGATCTGAGCAAAATAGTTATACTTTATAGGCATGTCTTTCTGCTTCAAAATGGAGAATCAGCAGATAAATTCCTGCAGCAAAATGGCAAAGTAAAAAGAAGACTTAAAAAATATAAAGAAGGCATTTAATTCTCAAGTAACTATCAACCCTGCCTGTGGAAGATAAAGTTGCAACACTGTTATATAAAGATTTATGTTCATTCTCATATAAATTAGCATGAAAACTGATTAGTTGACATCTTCTTTGCTCCCCTGTTCTTGACCAAATGCAATCTCAGCCCTAGAGCCTGGAAGGCAAGGCTCTCAACCAGGGTCAGATGCAGGTTTTGTGGGGCCTGAAGCTGAGATCATTTTTGGAGCACTCTTAAAGAGAAGATAAAATTACAAGTTCAAAATTTAGGTAGAAAAGTGAAGACTTATCCCAAATGATAAAAGAAATCATACCCATTGTAAAAAATTTTAAAAAGATAATAAATACCATAATCATCACAAAACCCAGAAAATGGTTTATTGTTATTTTTATTAATTTCCTGCCTACTACATCATCTCTATAATACTCTTTCCCTACTATTTGGTTGCATGATCTTTGACCATCTCTTTAAATGACAACCATTTTGTAATATAATTTTCTACAGAGAAAATTCAGTTTCCCCCAGCATGATTGATAGAAATCTGTTTCTGTTTTTAAGAAAGAGTTTTCTGCTTCACAACTTTTTTTTGGGAAAACTGTGTCTATAACTTTCTCTGCAAGTCTTACTTGGAAGGTGCTTCTTGCCTTAGGCAAGCCTTGGAGAATCCCAATCCTTTGATCTCATTTGGCATGCCTTCCAGAGCTGCTGCTGTAGTGGCTCATCTTGCTTCTTAGGTACTCAATGCCCCATCATTTCATCAGCACCTTCCTTCTGGGTTTTGAAGAGCAGCATTTCTTAAATCCTTTTTGGAGTCAAAGATGGTGTCCAGTTTTTCCTACAGATTTATCATGGACAATTTTTGCTGAGGGCTGGTAGATGTGGAAGTACTGCTGGAAGTGTGGCTCCAGGAGACCATAAGAGAGTGACCTGCATGCTGGGGCAGGGCTACTAAGGCTGCTGCTTCTTTCTCATGTCCCTGGAGCAGAACCTCACCAGCCTTAGAAGAGTCCAGGAAAGTGAAGGGTCCTGAAGCTTAAACTTAATTAGCTTAATGGTATC